AGAAAGTTTTAAATATATGAAAATACAAAAGATATAAACAAAAAAAAGAAAAGAAAACTTTAACTTAATATAAAAAAATAATCAAGAGTCAACTAAACTGTAACAATAGAACATTTTGGACCTCAACAAAAATTACGAGCCTCAATTTAATATCTTAGGGAAAAAAAATTTACTCGTGATCCCTCAGAACTCAAAAATAGACTCAGATAATCAAAATCATGATCCTCTGAAATTCAAAAAGACTCACATTAATCGGCTTTTTGACCTCTTTGTCCCTTATTAAATAAAAAATAACTATTTTGCCCTCGTATCAAAACTATACTCCAATCTGTCCCCGATTACACAAGGAAAATAATCGATTAAATGTGTAAAATTTAATTAATCGATTACGTAGTCGATTAAGCTGCGACTTTTTGCTTGTGCAAGCCATAGATTCTTTCAGAGAAAGAGTAGCTGTCGTGAAGGACTCGCTCCACAAGAGCCAGACCATCACCGATAACATGGTCTCCATTCCTCAAGATTAGAAGTTGACGAGGATTTGCTCTTGGGGTTATTCTATGACCAAAAGCAACAGTATTCTCGCACAGATCTCATATTTGTTTCTAAAATAAAAAATAAAAAACTAACTTTCCAGTATCTCTAATTGCACCGATGTTAGACACATAAATGGCTTGCTGATACTCTTCCACCATTGCAATGGCCTCAGAATAAATAGCCTACAACCAACCCACCATATAACAAATACAGGTCACTAATCTAACAATTAAACATAAACTTAACCAACCCATTCCAGCAAAACCAAAAACCCAAATATTCATTCCCAAATTATAATTTTTATTCCATGGTTTTCAGGTGACGTAGTCTTTCCCTGTTCATTTCCTCTCTCGCCTGCAAAATAACTCAGCAAATTAATACCCAACTAATTTTTTTTTCAGTTCTTCAAATATTTGACAAAAAGGGTCAACAAAAAATTAAGCGAGAGATGGAGCTCCCATTCCCCCCAAGGAATCAAGATACCCAACTAAATTTTATCTTTGTTTTTTTGGATATTTGACAAAATGGGTAATTTTTTTTTTTGAATTTTTGGAGATAAGATGGAACTCCCATTTTCCAATTCTGGTGGGACATTTCACAAACACTTAGGAATCAAGTGGGGTGTGGTTGGGAACTAGGGGAAGAGAGAGAGAGAAAGATAGAGATGGAGCCTTTTTGCTTTGAAATGCATCAGTTGTTGTGTTCTCTCATTTTGTTTCTGTGCCGATTGGGACTCGTTCATATGGTTTGACAAAAACTTATGATCCAGGAGTAATTTATACATGGAAACCAAAATCAGATACCCTTCCTCGAGATGCACAAGCAAAATGTCACAATTTAATCGATTACATAATCGATTAACTAAATTTTAGACATTTAATCAATTACTTTTATTGGGTAGTCGATTAAATAAGGACAGATTGGTGTATAGTTTTGATACGAGGGCAAAGTAGTTATTTTTTATTTAATAAGGGGCAAAGAGGTCAAAAAGTCCACATTAATCTCTCAAAAGGACTAACATGGGTTTATTTTGGAATTTAAAGGGATCACGAGTTGATTTTTTTTAGAGATTAAATTGGGTCATATAATTTTTGTTGATGACCCAAAATATATTTTATTCTTTTTCTTTCTCAAAAAATTTATGTGTGCACTTGTACACGCATGTGTCCTTCACTGCCTAGGTGGGTTCAGGCAATGCGTGAATACGAAGCTAATTTTCGGTACAACAAAGTACCTACTCCTATGCCAAAAGAAAAAAAAATGGAATATGGGATGAAAATAATTATAAATGTAAGGATATTGTAAAAGTGTTACTTTTTGTTATATTTAATAAAGGGTTTAATATCAAATGATGGTAGCTCAGTTGGCACTGAAGAACTGAGCAGGTGAGAGTGATAGTATGTGTTCGATCCTCTCAAGTATCATATTTGGAAGGGGTTTAAAAACTTAATTACGGGATCCGTTCCGAATCGGATTAGTCGCAAAGCGATGAACTGATTGGAATATCTCCAAAAAAAATAAAATAAAATAAAGGATTTAATTTTTCTGTAATTACTGTAAAAAATTTTGTCTGCCACTCTTACAAAAAAGGAGTGGATCTCACAAAAAAAGAGTAGATCCCTTGCAATAGAGTTCTTAACAAAAATTATATTATGTACTCCGAAAAATAAATGGTGTGGCAGTTAAAATTTTTTGCAGCAACTGCAAAAATATATTTTTCTTTAATAAATAATGTACCAAGTACTAAGTAAAACGGATCATCGAAATATTTTTGTGAATAATAGTGTAATGAAACGTTAAAAGAGAAGCTTGGGGGCTCTTGTGAGCATTGTAATGGCTATTGTTTCACTTGTACAAGAGACCATGTTATTGTTGATAGCGAAAAAACTTGTGTTATGGGATAATAGTGAAAACACAATCACACAAACATAATGCAATCATAGGAAACTAGAAAGTAATATGCAAGACAGAAAAATTATAAAAAATTAAACTCGAGCCCAATATTAGATACTGTGTCCTTAAGGCAATTTTGTCTGCTTTACGGTGCCTAAAGTTAGTTAACAAATGCCTCTAAGAATAGAACGAGTTACCTTTATTTCGACCATCAGCAGACCTGTATTGGTGTAAGTGTGTGCAAGTGCACACATAAATTTTTGGAAAAAAAAAATATATATTTTGAGTCCCAACAAAAATTACAAGGCCCATTTTAATCTCTTAGAAAAAAAAAGTTGATTATGTGTCATTCTGAATTCCAAAATAGACTCGGTTAGGCGAAATTGTGGACCTTTTGAAATTCAAAGAAGACCTACATTGGTCCCTCAAAAAGACTAACATGGGTCTATTTTGAAATTCTGAGGGATCACGAGTCAATTTTTTTTTCTGAGAGATTAAATTGGGTCCCGTGATTTTTGTTGAGTATCCAATAGGTACTTTATTTTTGTAGTAAGTTCAAGTTTTCTTTTCTTTTCTTTTTTTGTTTATATTCTTTTGTTTTTTAATACATTCAAAACTTTCTTTAAATTTTTTTTTGGGGACATTGCCCCCGAACCCCATCCCTAAATGTGCAGACATAAATAAAATTGCTTAGGTCCGTCACTGATTTTGACAGTGGCATACTAGAAGAAACAACATCAGAGTATTGAAAAGGAGTCATAAAACTTAGTCATTACAAACTATTAGTATTTATAGAAATGAATGATCACAAAATAAAAAGATACGACTATTCAAAAACGAACCGGTGTGACTATTCGCTTGCAAAGAGACACAACTCTTTGCAAGCCAAGAGACACAATTATTTGAAACGAAAAGATACCACTCTTCTAATTTTTTATTCATAACCCATTTATATAACATACCATGCCTTCAATGAGAGAAATTTTAAAGATGATAAAGGGATACAAGAGGGGAAGCTCGGGAATATTCTAAATAGTAGTGATCGCTCACCTAGTAGATGCTAAGATACTCTTCAAAGAATTCCAAGGGAAGAGCACGTGGGCATGTGATATATTTATGAGTAACTTTTAGACAGGTCAATATAGTTAAATTATACATTCTGATTTCTTGCATTTATTTTTTATTCCACTATCAGGTGATTCAAACCACTGCTGTGAAAAGGCTTGCGGCATTTAAGAGAATGAAAATTATCATCATTCTCTAATATTTTCCCACTTTCTCCGAAATTTCCTCCCCTATGCATAGCTAGGGGCCCCCTAGCGTCCCTTTCAGAAACCATAAGGTCTCACGAGGACCTAAGTATTTAAAAATAATGTTGAATGTTGTGTCACATAGATATGAACATTAATTAATTATTATTCCCTCAATATTTATAATTCCACCTTTTCCACCCTTTTCATTCCTTTTATTTTATTAGTGATACATACTAATGTATGCTTCATATTTTGGTTTTAAATATGTCCAAAGTTTTAGAATAAGGTATTATATTAAGCTAAACAGATACTAGGAGAGGGTGGCCGCAATGATTAGCCCACAGATATAAATTGATAATGGTTATTGGGATTCGCACTCTAACTGTTACTAAATTCCAAGATCCACAAGCACCCTTCGGTCCATTCAAATTCAACCATTATGATTTACCTTTCTCTCAAAATATTAAAAGGATTTGATGTAGATAATTTTATTTCTTTTTATATTCACAACATATATTAAGGAACTTAATTTAATCCTTTAAAAAAAAGTCACCCCATATTTTCTCTGAAATTTAAAATAAATCAAGTTAGTTATTTTGAGAAATTATCATGGGTCTTCTTTAAATTTCAGAGGAATCGTAATTTTGAATAATTGAATTTTTTTGAATTTCAAAAGATCACAGGTTGACTTTTTCTTCTTCTAAAGGATTAAAATGAGTTCTATAAATTTTGTTGAGGATCCAAAATATATTTTATTCTATTTCTTATATTCATGGTTATTTTTTTTTCTCTTTTTTCTTTTCATATAATCTTGTACGAGTCTCATATATGTTTACGTGTATAGAAAATTTTATTTTTTAGATAAAAATATTAAACACAAATTAAAAGAGAAGTATAATCGTTATGTTGCTAGAAACAAATAAACATTTCTTACCGACTTTTAAAAAGTGTGCCAACTTTCTTTAATTTTTTTTTTTTATCTTTTTACAGTGGCCCATTGAATTTTCTTTGCAAGAAGTTATGAATTTTTCTTGTAACAAGACATAAATAAACTCCATCTTAAAAAGAGAAAATATTTTTTTTATATTGTATAAGAATTATTTTTTCCGACCCTTTAATTTTTGTGCATTATTTTTTCTTATTTTTTTTTAATAAATGTGAAGTTATACAAAATATGTGCATAACATGAATTTTTTTTTCTTTTGTTCCGAGAAAATTAAAACCCTATTAAAACCCTATTGGTTGGAGCTCTAACCCATCAAATTCTCTTTCTCTCTAATCTCTATACCCTCTCTAGAGAGAGAAAACCAGTATCTCTTGGCTGTTGCAACGTAATCAAGAAAGTAAAGCAGCAAATGACAAATGGGTAGTGGCACTGCCACTGCAGCCACAACAACATTCAACAGTGTGTTGTCAGAGACACACACAAAAATAAACACAAACACACACTCTGAGAAAGGTGCCACCGCCACCAAGTATGCCTCACTCTAAAAGTTGCTAACTTTGTTACCAAAAAGGTTACTCTCTCTCTCTCTCTCTTCATAAACATCGTTTTGGGTTTTACCAGTTTAAGCTTGAGACTTGCCTGCTGCTTGGTCTAACCAATTCTGGGATAAAGTTTGGATTTTTGTTTTTGATTGTGGGGTTTTCTCTTCTTTGCTGAATCTGTGATGCTTTTGGGGTTTGTGTATTGTTGTTGAACTGGCCAAGATTCCATTTCTCACCAATTCTATCCTTCCATTTCTGGGATACAGTTCCTTCTGTGTGTATTGCGGATCTAATTCCTACTGGGTTTTCATTTTCTCCAAGGAAGTATTTTGGTATTGGATGTATACCCAGAATCACTGAATTGGTGTAGACTTTGTATTTTGGGAAAAATGCTTGTTGCTTCAGTGCCAAATTAAAGGCACAGTTTCTTTTGGATACATACAAGTAGGGAAAAGGGATGGCAGCAGAGTCAAACACTGGTTTTCACTATGAGGATATGAATTCTGCTTTGAACTGGCATGCAGTATCATTTCAGTCTGGTGCTATTAGTAGCCTGCATGAGATGGCTCCAATGGGTAATTATGTTGGGTTGAATAATAATATCTCAGGGATGATGTATTCTGGAAATTCAAGCATCATTAACAATAAACCTGTCATAAGTCAAGCTGGCAATATATCTGGTTCTTCTCTCCTTCTTGATTCAGACCCTGGGCTGAAGCATGATGCAGGGATGGCTGTTGAGTGGGGTGTTGATGAACAGTACAAATTGGAGGAGGGTCTTGTCAGGTAAGTAGTTTATTGTTACTTGTTGTTGTTGTTGTTGTTGTTGTTGTTATTATTATTATTATTGATTTTGGCATCTTTGTGCTACATTGGTGCATCCTACATTGTAAGTTGTTTGATGTTTAGTACTTCTACTTCTTCAGAAAAATAATTTATTATTAGCTTGATCATGTATTTTACATAGGAAGTATTATTGTTCTATAGAATTTTCTTTTTGACAAAGAAGGAAAGTTTATTAGATAGAAAGGTGGAAAAGTAGAGCTAGGGTAAGACAAGAAATCGTATACAAAAGAAAACGCTAGATACAACTAGGAGTGTGAAAAAACTCAAGAATGCATGACATGAGCATTTCCATATCCAGAGAGATCGTGCATCCCTGCTTCTCTTATATATATATATATATAAAACAACTTTATATACCTGCAATGTATACTCTATTTTGTTTCTAGTTTGATCCTTAATGTAGAGAATGCTTCAAATACAATAAGTTTACTCTTGAAAATTCATTGAGTCATAGCTCATCTGTCATGTGACCAAAGGATATCATGGGCTTACCATTTAGATTTCAAATCTCCGAATAATGGTTAGAATATATGAAAAATTCCCATAATTTTATGATTACATCTTAAAATAATTTAGAGTTAGATGATCTCTTAGGATTGGTTTCCATATTTCCTTATATTTTATCATTTGTTTTCTTATTTTAGGAGTCTCCTATTAGTATAAATAAGGATTGGTTCTTTACTTTTTGAATCACATCATAACACATAATATTTAGTCTTTATTCTCTTTATACTTCCCTCCTCTATACCTAAATTACTATGGGAGTGGATCCTTTCAGGTCACATAACTTCATGTGAGACGATCTATGCCGTTTATAGAAAAATCAACGGTGATTTATCTATCCTTACGCTTTCTCTCTAATTTTCTTAACCATTGATTTGTCTATGGATAATTGAGATCGTCTCGCATGTCATATGACATGAGAGAATCCATTTCCAAATCACTTAATTTCAATGTGATATTAGAGTGGTATCATCCTCCATAACCTGTCCCATCACTATTTCTTTGTCGAATTCCCTAAAATCCAGATCTCTACATTAACTTTTTTCAACATTCTGGCCGCTGTTCACAGCTTCTCCATCCACCTTCGCCGTTGTCCGTTGTCATCTCTTTGCCATGTTGTCTTTCCATCAACCGTTTCTCAATTGTCTGCTACTTCCCATTGTTGTGTTGTCATTCTGGCAGCAATGCAGCTTCTTTTGGCTGTTGTGCCAGTTCGTCTTGCCTTGAAAATGTCTGTAAAGAATCAATTCTACCCAAAAGCTTAAGCTATTAGTTGATGTTACATTAATGGTTTTATATCTCTAACACGTACTTTCACACGAAAGCCTACTGGGCTTGAATGGTGGATAATGCACAAACTCACCTACCTATGCTGAGAAACTTCACAAGACTTAATTATTTATTATTAAATGGGGGTGGTGAGGATCGAACCCATGACACTGTAAAGAACCATTTCAACCCAAAAACTTATGCTGTTGGGTGAGGTTACATTAATAGTTTATACTATTCTTTAACACACCCCCTCATATGATAGCCCACTGGGCTTAAAGGGTGGATAGTGCACAGAACCACCTACCTGTGCTAAGAAACTCCATAAGACTTAATTATTTATTAATTAAATGGGGGGCAGTGAGGATTGAACCCGTGACACCAAGGTTCTGATACCATTAAAACGCTAATTCTACCGAAAAGCTTAAGTTGTTAAGTGAGGTTACATTAATTGTTTTATATATCTCTAACAATGTCCAATGACTTTTCTGGTCACCACGAACCTGGAGCGGCTCCTCCTATCTGGCCTATGCTCTCTGGACCCATTGCATTCCAGTTAGCTACACCCTTGCATGCACCACCTTTTTACACTGTGGATCATCTTCTCTGGTGACATCTGTGCCGCATGTGACGGCACTTGAAGCCTATTTTCCAGCCACTTGTGCTGGCCTCACCTTCTTTCTCTGGATCTGGTGTATCCTCCTTCACCCGTTGTCTGTTAGTGGTCGTCCAACCTTTTTCACTGTTGTCCAGGCCTTCTTATGTTCATTTGGCTCTCTTTTGCTGTTTATCCATGAATATCCACATCTTAGTCATCATTGTTTGCCATGTTTTTGCTCAATTCTTTGCTTTTTATGTTGTTGTCGTTGTTTCTTTTTCAACGACAACTCTTACCAATAGTGTTGTTGCCAGTTTCTCTTTTCCAATGCCAACATAGCATTGATGGGGAGAAATTTGGAAGATATGTCCTGATCTTGTCGTACTTGTACTTTAACATCCCAATGGCTAGTAAGGGCAGAGAGTGATCGCCAGTGTAAAATAGTTGAGGCACAAACAAAGAGTGGATTCTGCCAGGCTTATAGCTGGGGGGTACATGAATGAATCTAATCAGTACCCGAAAGAGAGGGATTCCAGAGACTGTGCAGGTATGAGACTCTAAAGTTGAGGATAACTTATAAGAATTAATTGGTACTATCTATACTAACAAGATGCATCTACTTTTCGGTAGCCCTTAACTTAAGAACTCCATAGTTAAGCGTGCTTAAATTGGAGCAATTCTGTGATGTGAGTGAGGACAAAGAACGCTGAAAAGTATCACATTAATTTGTAGGGATAGTCATTGATCTTGCAAGCGGTCGAGTGTTTCAAGTGGTATCAGAGTAGGGCTTTTCTCCCAGTACGATGTGGTTCGAGGAAGAATCAGGCGGAAGCTAGTGGGAATGTAACATCCCGAGGGTAGGGAGTGATCACCTGTGCAAAAGAGATGAGGAACAAACAAAGAATGGCTCCTGCCAGGCTTGCAGCTGGGGGGTACATGAATGAATCAAATCTACAACCGAAAGAGAGGGGTTCCAGAGACTGTGCAGATATGAGACTGTATAATCGAGCAAAACTTGTAAAGAACCACTTCAACCCAAAACCTTAAGGTGTTGGGTGAGGGCCTTTTTAATGATTTATATTATTCTCTAACACACCCCTTCACGCAAGAGCCCTTTGGGCTTGAAGTGTGGATTTTGCACAGGTCCAATTTTTGGTTTACCTTTGGTGCTTTTTATTTTAATTCCACTTTAAAATGGGGGGCGGAGAGGATCGAACTTGTGACCTTGTAGTCACTCAAGCTCTGATACCATGTAAAGAACCACTTCAACCCAAAACCTTAAGGTGTTGGGTGAGAGCCTTTTTAATGATTTATATTATTCTCTAACATAACTTATAAGCATTAATTGGTAATACCTATATCAAACCAACTCTTGGAACTTTCACTAGATTTGCATAATCATAATCCATTGATTCATATGAGTTCCAAGCTACCTTGCCTTACATCATGGACTCACATCAAGCCACACAAACTAAGATAACAAAATTAATGCTCTGAATCATTGTGTATATATCACATTAATTCCAAATTTTCCATCATGTAATAGTCAAACCACAATGTTCACACTTATACATTTGTTTAACTAACCTACACATAAGGAAAATCGATTAGACTCAGCATCCAAGATATCTAAATCAACTCAAGTCTCTATGCTATTAAGAATTCCACAATATTCACCTATGATAGCCTTCTATGTTAAAGGTTAATCATCACCCTCTAACAGTCATGTTATTTCACATGATTTCAATACTTATCCTAAGATCTTCTCTTAAGCATAATCTATCATCCATATGATACTTCATATCTAAGGAAATTTCAGAGTGTATCCCGATGTTTATCATGATTCTACAATCATCATACTAAACAATGAGCCGGCCAAACTCACACTCGGTATCTAGCAATGCATTATCATGTCAAATATTAGGAACCACTAAGCAATAACCTTTCTCAATCAACCACACTAAGTTTCTTCCCTATAAACTGCTCTGATACCATAAAATGTAATACCTCATTACTGGACCGGTTTGTTATCATCAAAGTGGTATTAAACACAACATATTTATTTAATAAACGCGGAAGTTTATCTTATTGATTCACAATTCGTCTTATATCAAAACGTGAATAAACTTTTTTTTTTTTGTATTCCACATTGAATACATCGATCTATGATCATTCCAATGTAATCACATTCATTATAGTCTCATCCAAGAGATTTAAATTAGGTCTATCCGCCTAACACCTCAATTCATTCTGGGATGGGTGACCTCCTTGGAACTCCCAGGAAGTGTGTGAGTGAGGACAAAGCATGCTGAAAAGTCTCGCATTAGTTTGTGGGGACAATCATTGATCTTGCAAGCGGTCAGGCGTTATAAGTGGTATTAGAGCAGGGCCTCTCTCCCAGTACGGTGTGGTTCGAGGATGAAACAGATGGAAACTGGTAGGCATGTAACATCCCAAGGGCTGGCAAAGGCAGTGAGTGATCACCAGTGCAAAAGAGACGAGGCATGGACAAAAAGCGGCTCCTGTCAGGCTTGCAGCTGAAGGTACATGAATAAATTGAATCAACACCCAAAAGAGAGGGATTCTAGAGATTGTGCAGGCATGAGACTGTAAAGTTGGGGATAGCTTATAAGAATTAATTGATAGTACCTATAGTAATAAGATGCATGAACTTTTCGGTAGCCCATAACTTAAAAACTCCATAGTTAAGCGTTCTTAACTTGGAGTAATTCTGGGATGGGTGATCTCCTAGGAAGTTTTCCTACGATGTGTGCGAGTGAGAACAAAGCACACTGAAAAGTCTAGCGTTAGCTTCTGGGGACAGTCATTGATCTTGCAAGTGGCTGGGCGTTGCATTTCCCAGATGCAGCTTGGCCCCATTGGACTTTGTCCCAGATGTAGTTTGGCCTTGTTGGACTTTTGGCCTTAACATTTGTCCTGGATACAATCTAGCCTTGTCAGCCTTTGTCCTAAGTGCAGTTGCCCAATCAAACTTTGTCATTGATATGCAATCTGGCCTTGTCTTTCTCTCGGTTGCAGTCTGTCCTTGGCAGTTTGGCCCTTTTACAGTGATGAACAAATTGACTCTGATTTATACCTGCTTCCCATTGTCGGTCATACCAAAAGGTGATTTCTCCTATATATCTCACTGATAAATCATGCCAATAGTTTTGGTTGATATGCACACTAAGCCCGATGTCAATTTTCGTTTTGGATCTCCTAAGTTTTCTTGTGGTTTTAAGGTTCCAAATTCTATTCTTGATGAACCTAGTGGAGAAGTTTTAGTTCTTGTTATGTTGTCATTCCAGAAATTTTCATCTCTGAGTTTTCATTTTAGCTATGTTTTGTGGAGCCCACATATATTATTTGATTATTTTTCCTTTTTAAAGGATTTATTTTTAACAATCTCAAAGCTTAGTAAACTTTAGCTTGAGAGGGAGTGTTAGAATATCTGATAAATATCCCATAACATTACTATTATATTTTAAAATAGAGTTGAGTATCTTAGATGATCTGTTAGAGTTGGTTTTCATATTTTCTTATATTTCATGATTTTTTCCCTCAATTTAGGAGTCTACTATTAGTATAAATAGGGATTAGTGCTTTGTCTTTTGTATCATATCTTAACACAGAATATTCATTCTTTATTTTCTCTAGGCTTCCTCCCTTAATACCTAAATCACTATAATTTCGACCATCATAATTTAAAAATCTTATCGGGGAATGAAACAAATTGTCTTGTCTAGCTTGTTGTTTGCCATCTATCTTGGAACTACATGCATACTTTTCCTTTTATAACGTCCTTTTCAATTCCTACCTCAAATGCTGCAAAGTCATTCCTTTTTAAATTTTATTTTCTTTTGTTTGAGTTTAGTTGGTCTTTTGCTTTACTCTTCATTTAGTATTGCTTAGATTTTAATGGCTATGCTAAGTTTGTGTCATACAGTACGTTTATATGCTTGTGTTGATATGTTTTCCTCTTTTTATAGTTTATATTGCATAACCCTAGTTTTCTTTCTTTTTCTCATTACTCTTTTATTGCCTAGATATGCTGATGAGCCAAGTATCATGAAGTATGTCAAAATTGCTGCTACATTGCGTGATAAAAATGTTCGCGATGTTGCTTTGAGGTGTAGGTGGATGACTGTAAGCTCTTTTTCTTTTAACAATGTCTCCAATCTTCATATTTTAATACTGACTATGAATGATACATATGCTGTGGACAAGCATCTATTATTTTATTAAACATATGCTCTTTGTAAGCCTAAGTTGTTTTCTACTTTATAATGTAGTTCTTATATTTTAGATAAACCTTGTAGTATAATGTTTGTGTTGCCTTTTCTTAGTAAAAGTAATGCCTAGGTACATCTAAATCTGGGCATTGGGTTTTACTTTCTTCCATTTAAACAAGGGAGGAGTGTGTTTATGTACATGTATATAACAAGATAGAAATAAGAATCTTTTAACCTAATTTTTCTGTAGTGAATTTTTTACACACAAAGTGTGGCACCTATTTCTAATTAGGTCCATTTTGAAAGTTATATCTGTTGCATTGTCTACTCGCTCTTGTGTGAGGGGGCGTGTTGAGATATATAGTCTCACATTGGTTATATGTGCAACTAATGTGGTCTTTATAAGGCTTTGGGCACTCTCACCCTTTGAGCTAGCTTTTGGGGTGGTGTATCCCAAGGTTCTTTACATGGTATTAGAGCCTCGCCGCCCCTCACTTTCTCTTGTGGCGTTTCTTAGCACAGGTAGGATGGGCCTGTTGCATTGTCCACTCTTCAAGCCCAATGGGCTCTCGTGTGAGGGGCGTGTTGAGATATATAGTCTCACATTGGTTGTATGTGCAACTAATGTGGAGTTTATAAGGTCTTGGACACTCCCACCTTTTGAGCTAGCTTTTGGGGTGGTGTATCCCAAGGTTTTTTACAAATGGAGTTTGACCTGTTGTGGCTTGTAGCATTGTTAGTAAAACTCCCTGTGATTTCTAACAGTTACTCATAACCAGCTCTAGAACTATAGAACTTGCAGTGGCTGGTTGCATTATGCAATTTGCTTTGAGATTTCCAAATTGCATGGCTATAGCGCACTCTGTCTGCATTATTTTTGCTACATCAGATCATTCACTATGTATTTATTGCCTTAAATCTATTTCTTTTTCCTCAATGCTTCTCACCTGAGGATATTAGCATCCTCTGACTTCTTTGGGAGCCTTTTGAAATTATATTATACTGAGTCTCTCTTCTCAGCCTTTCAAATCCTGAGTTCTTCCACTCTTTTTCTTTTCTGTCATATGACTTTTACAAGCCCACTGGTGCTTGGCATGTCATGGCGCTTGGCAGAGTCTATGGACTTGTATTCTGTGTTTATTATTTTTGGCTATATAATCTAGACCCTGTTGTGTAGTTTAGAAACGTAGATTTCACTAAATATCTCTTGTTGCTTCTTCCCTTAATAATGGCGTCTCTTTAATGTTATGCTTATTGCTAATTCTAGAGAGATGCCATTTATAATAAGCAGAGACAGGAAAACTTTGCTTCATTTGTTATGTTTTCAAGTTCCATGTAGTTTCCTTTCTTTTAGAAGTATGCCTTCTCTCCCTAGTTACACTTGTTAGAGAAATACAATATAAAAACCATTAATGTAGCATCACCTAATAACTTAAAATTTTAGGTTGAATTGACGCTTTACATGTTATCAAACTCTACGTGACCAAGTGATCCCGAGTTCGATCCTTATCGTCCCTCATTCTATTAATAAATAATTAAATATTATGGAGTTTTTTAGTATAGATAGGAGGGGCTATACATTTTCCACCTTTTAAGCATAACGGTTGTGTGAGGGGACGTGTCAAATAGATATAATATAAAACCATTGATGTGATCTTCAGTTAACAATTTAAGCTTTCGGATGAAATGGTTCGTTATAGTACTTTCCCACATTTGTGTATCTTAAATATTTTCTCTTTCTATAGAAACATATTATAGATGTCTGATATTTTATCCAAGATGAAAAAAGTAAAAAAGACCCTATGTAAAGGTTGTTTCTTAATTAAATAAACCAAATAATCTTCGTTGCCTGTTTTTTTCCATTTAAATTGAAAAATGTCATGTTATGGACAAACTTTGTTTTAATTAGAAGGATAGACTTTTATCCAGAAAAAAAAATGTTACGTGCTGTATGAACACAATGTATTACGCATAAAACTTGGGTACTTATTTAACCAGCACCTTAACATCTGTTTATTGGAACTGAAAATACTGTTTAAATGATTTTGCAGAGAAAGCGAAGGAAACCAGAAGAGCACATGGTAAAGAAGTTCAACAATAGGAAGGTATGTGAAATTCAGGAAGCTGGTGTACTTCTTATAATATAGTTTTTTTCAATAGTCTAGTCAATCTTGATAATCTTTTACTGAATGTCAACTTGATGTTTTAAGTAGGTTGCTGCAAATATATTTTGCCAATTTTCCTCTAATTGTGAAGAAAATGGATCCTCTCATGTTAAAATTTCACATGACCTGGTCATGTGAAATTTTTGTATCTATCTCTCTCTTCACATGTATTAAATAGTTGAGATCCAATTATCATTAATGAAGAAAGAAATAGACACAAAAATTTCACATGAGAGAATCCATTCTGAATTTTGAATGTCTACTTGAGTAATTTTTACGCATTGAAAAGACAATATTATGAGGTTGCTTGTTTGTTTCTAATCAAGATTGGGCATGTGGCAATAAGCTGAGTTTTTTATTTTTTATTTTGATAAAAGAGTCAATTGGAAGAGGAAAAAAAAAGTACAAGGTTCCTTCTTAAAGAACCAACATAGCCGCATAGGATATTTATGTGTTAATGCAATACGTGCAACTCCATCGAAGAAGTCTCTCTATAGAATCATAAGAAAACATTTACATCAAATGTGTCGTAGGTTTATATATTAATGCAATAAGAATTGAAGGATGCCAGTGATAACTTAGAAGTTATGTTAATAACAAAATATGCTTATGTTGCAAATCATTCCTGTCTATGATGTTGGTGATAACATGTTATGTCATTTGCAAAACATAAACAGGACTCCTGTTTTGATAATATTGAATCAATTAATTTCTTTAGGATCTAATGTTGATTGAAGAACCAGTATTCTAAAAGTCATGCTTCTTCAGGATAAGCCGGTGGAGTCATCATCAAAGCAATATTTGCAGTCAGCTCTAACACCAAGGCCAAGCATGGCCACATACTCTTGTATGTCAAACAATTTGGGCAAAAGTCATCGGATACTATATGATGGTTGGTGTATTAATTTCTTGTTTATAGTAGTTAAATGTAAAAGAATATGTTGTATATTGATCTGTGTCAGGGAGTTACAATATATAGAGACCCTAATGGGCTTAAGTGTAAGGCCCAAACCTAATCCAAACCTAATCCTAATACAGTCAGAATACAGTCAGACTATTTACGGATAAGACAGAATCCAATCATATCTAATCAAATCTAATCATATTATATCTAATATTCTAACACTCCCCCTCAAGCTGGTGCGTATATATTATGAGCACCAAGCTTGTTACAAATGTATTCAACCCGAGGACCTCTAAGAGCTTTAGTGAAAACATCTGCTAGTTGATTAGACGAGTTGACAAAAGCTGTCTTGATTTCTCCTGACTGAATCTTTTCCCGAATGAAGTGACAATCAATCTCTATATGTTTGGTCCTCTCATGAAAAACAGGATTAGAGGATATATGTAGCGCAGCTTGATTATCACAGATGAGTGTCATGGGTTGTTTCTGTTCACAAAGATGAAGCTCCTGAATCAACTGCTTTAACCAGATCAACTCACAGGTAGTATTTGCCATTGCACGATACTCAGCTTCTGCACTAGATCGGGAAACAACAGATTGTTTCTTGCTTTTCCATGAGATTAAGTTTCCTCCGAAGAAGACACAATAACCAGAAGTAGAGCGTCTGTCCGAGGGTGATCCTGCCCAATCGGCATCTGAGTAACCACAAATTTCTGTATTTCCCTGATCCGAATACAACAAACCTTTTCCTGGTGCTCCTTTGATGTATCGGAGGATCCTCACAGCAGCATCCCAATGTGAATCACATGGGGAATCAAGGAACTGACTGGCCGTACTGACAGCGAAAGAAATATCTGGCCTAGTCACAGTAAGATAATTGAGCTTCCCAATCAGCCTCCGATAACGTCCAGGATCAGATAACGGCTCCCCCTGTTTGGGCAATAACTTAACATTAGGATCCATTGGTGTATCAACTGTGTAGAAAATTAGAATTCAAACATGTTTCCGTTTTTATTTCCTATTAATTAGGATTGATTATGATTGATTAGGATTGATTATGATTGATTAGGATTAATTGTGATTGATTAGAATTGATTGTGATTAGGATTGTGATAGGATTGATTAGTCATCGCTTAGTCATTCTTAGCGATTCTTTCTGGTATGAAGTGCGGTCATCTCATCAAGCATCGCTTGGCGCCATCCTGGATGGGAAAGTGCTTCACCTGTGGTCTTAGGAATAGAAACAGAAGAAAGACTAGAAACAAAGGTGAAATGAGGAGCAGAAAGGCGATCATAGCTCAAGAAGGTATAAAGAGGATAAGGGTTACGAGTAGTACGTGTACCTTTTCTTTGAGCAATGGGAAGAGCCTCTGGTGAAGGATCCGGAGGGGAAGAATCAACTGCAGAGGGCAATGAGTCAGCAGGGGTCGAGTCGACTGGAGGTACTGTCTTACGACGCTGATAAGTGAGAAGTGGACGGTCCTTAGGTACTGGAGCAATAGGTGATGGCTTATCTGGAGTAGAAGCACCTGCATCTGGCAAAGACAAGTCAAGAAAAGGAACAGGAAGAACATGATCAACCTGTGACAATGGAGAGGGGATAGAATTAAAGGGTTGTTGATCAAAAAAGGTGACATCCGCGGAAACTAAGTAACGCTTGAGGTCAGGAGAGTAACAGCGATAACCCTTTTGAAGACGATAATAACCAAGAAAAATGCATTTAAAGGCTTTGGATGTTAACTTATCCTTACCAGGAGTGAGATCATGAACAAAACAGGTACAACCAAAAACATGTGGGGATAGAGGAAAGAGAGGAACATCTGGAAACAATAAGTTATGAGGAATATCATTATTAAGCACAGATGAAGGCATGCGGTTGATGAGAAAGAAAGAAGCAAGGACTGCATCAGCCCAGAAGTGAAGAGGAACATGCATGTGAATAAGAAGAGTTCTGGCAATCTCAATGAGATGTCTATTCTTACGTTCAGCTACTCCATTTTGTTGTGGAGTGTGAGGACAAGTGGTTTGGTGTAAAGTACCCTGTGTGGCTAAGAAGTGAGAAAAGTCAACAGAAACATACTCCTTAGCATTATCACTACGTAAAATACGAATAGAAGCACCAAATTGAGTATGAATTTCAGCAGAAAACTTTTGATAAATAGAAAACAACTCAGAGCGGTTTTTCATTAAATAAATCCAAGTACAACGGGAGAAATCATCAATAAAGGTGACAAAATACCGAAAACCTAAAATAGACACACTACGACTAGGACCCCAAACATCTGAATGAATAATGGAAAAAGGAGCATCAGCTCGTTTATTGACTCGATTAGCAAAGGAGGAGCGTATGTGCTTTCCTTGCTGACATGACTGACAATCTAAAGTTTGAAGACCGGATAAAAGAGGAACCATCTTCTGCAATTTCGCAAGACTAGGATGCCCGAGACGACTGTGGATGAGTTGTGGAGATTCTGTGAGAGAACAAGCAACTGAAGGACTCGGCACATCAAGGTAGAACAGACCCCGTGACTCACGGCCCACTCCAATCATCTTCCCCGTACCCGGGTCCTGCACAGAAACAGAATGGTTTGAGAATGTGACAATACAATTAAGAGAATTGATCAATTTACTAACCGATATTAAATTATAAGGGATGTGAGGAATGTAATAGACAGATGTCAAGGTCAATGAGGAGGTTGGACAGATTTGTCCAATCCCATGAACGGGGGCCTTAGTTCCATCAGCAAGAGTAAAAGAGGGTAAATTATTAGAATATGTAAGGGAAGAAAAGAGTTCCTTATTACCACAGAGGTGATCAGTAGCACCTGAGTCAAATATCCAAGGACCAAGTGATGCAGAATGAGAAACACAAGCAACAGGATTACCAGTTTCTGAAGCAGAGGCCTGAGATTGAGGAGAGGACTTCCTGAGAAGGGCCTGGAATGCTGCATATTCTTCAGAGGAGAGAGAGACTGAACCATTTGAAGCAGTATCCGATTGAGCTACATTAGCAGCAAAAGAAGGTCGCATGTGAGGATACTTGGTGTAGCAGCGTTCCTCATAATGACCAAGTTGCTGATAGTAATGACAACGAGGTCGCTGACCACGTCCGACTGGACCTCCTGGGCCTCCTGGGCTACGTCCTCCTGGGCCTCCTGGGCCTCTACCACGACCACGTCCGCCTCCAATATGCCCGCGAAAATCAGTACGGGAAACTAGAGCAGTAGAATCAACAGCAGAAGACGATGCAGGAGCAGATTTCTTATTCAAATTCAGAAGACGCTGATACGTCATGGATAGATCAGGCTCCCCACTAGTCAAGATAGTATCACGAACATTATCATATTCTTCGGGAAGGCCAGAAAGTGTGGCAACCATAAAGAGACGTTCCACCTGTTTCCGATATGCAGTAGCATCAGTAGGGTAAGGCAGCATATCC